GTGGTACAGGTAAGGCTGAGACCTTACAGACCATGATAAGAGTATTTACTACAAGGATGAGAAGACAATCTAGGATTTTAAGCAAGCAATTAACACAATGTCTGGGGCTATCACAACAGAACAGATTTGAAAGCAGTAAAGATATCACAAAGAGGATAGATTGGAGGTATATCTTGCAAGTAGAATAGACTAGATTTTGCTGATGTATTAAAAAGGAGGCTAGGTGGGTTTTTACCTAAGAACTGTGTGAGAATAGGAGAGAGGCGGGGAAATATTTCAATTCACATGTCTCAAGTTTGAAGTACCTGTGGGATACCTGAGCTATGATAGATTTGGGAATCATCAGAACACACACAGTGAATGATGCCAAGGAAGTAGATCTGATCACCAAGGGCAAGAGGAGGAGAAGGCAGACTATAAACGGTAGGCAGAGAAAAAGAGATTTAGAAGGTAAGTGAGAAGAATTAGCTAGTGAGAGAAGAAGAAAATCAAGAGGATTTGGTCTTAGGAGTGAAAGAAAGGGATTATTTCAAGGGGGGAGTGGCTGGCAGTATACTAGGGCTATTCTTAGTAAACATGGGTTGGTGACCTTAGCAAAGAGCAATTTTAATGTGGTAGGGGTCTGTCAGTTTGCAGCAGGTTGAAGAGTAAATAAGGGTAAGGACCTCAAGAGAGTAATACAAAAAACCCTTCTAATAAGCTGGATGATGAAGGAGAGATGAGGGAGTGGACAGAGATATCAGAGGGGCTCCTCATAATTGTATATGACTAGATCACAACTAAATGACTTTGCAACCTTCAGATCCCAAGAGGGCATTATCCGAGAATGGTACCCCAATTCAATAAAATCCAAAAAACATTTATCATTGTTTTATGTCACTGATATGAATGTATTTGATGTCTAAACTTTCAAAGCTCAACAACAAATGTTTATCTAATTCAAAACTCACACTGGGGAGGGGAGGCAAGGGAGCATGTTAGCATGTTCTTCACAGTCTATAAAGAAAAACTGGCCAGGTGTGGTGGCTTACACTTGTAATCCCAGCACTCTGGGAGGCCAAGTTGGGTGAATCATTTGAGGTTAGGAGTTTAATATGGTGATACCCTGTCTCTATTAAAAATACAGAAATCAGCCAGGCGTGGTGGCAGGTCCCTGTAATCCCAGCCACTCTGGAGGCTGAGGCAGCAGAATTGCTTGAACCTGGGATGTGGAGGCTGCAGTGAGCTGAGATCATGCCATTGCACTCCAGCCTGGGTGACAGAGCAAGACTCCGTCTCAAAAAAAAAAAAAAAAAAAAAAACAAAGAAAAAAAAAAAAAAAAAAAAAAAAAAAGAAACATTAATAGTAGAGTAAAAATTGGCCCAAGACAGATTATGGGCTAACTGATATAAACACAGTAAGATATTGTTAACATGATTTGAGACATTCTATTAAAGTTTCAACTAAAAGATCAACCGAAATTTGTACTAGAACCCTGTGATTATAATAAAGAAAAAAGTAAATATTTAGAAAGGGTACCTTTCTCTTCTTTCAGCAGGGCCCTCTCCAAAAAGTGTGATAGGTTCCCCCAAGGCTCTAAGGCAAGCCTTGACCTCTGAGTCATCTGTGGAGACATTGATCTGCCGGGCTCGCTTCCTTCTCTCAAACTCAGCCAATACTTCTGCCTGTCGCTCACTGATGTGCTCTTCAATCTCAAACACTTCTCCTATTAAAAAGAAAACAGGCAACATCAGCAGATCTTCTTCTGATAGAGAAAGAAATAATTTCTAGTAACCGCAGTCTTTGTGTGCCCTGAGGGAAAGGTAATTGTCTAATATATTACACATTTTATACTTTACTGTTTTTCAGTTTATTAAATTATGCCAAACACCTAAATCTAAATGACACAGCTTCAAAAGGGAGGAAAATGGTTCAAGCCACCCCTTGTTTCATTTACACCTATATAAACACACACCTTGGTTGAGACCAGAAAGTAAGAGTACAGAACATCTTTTGCAAATGAGTTAACTAGGCTGTCTTTCTAGAAGATGTAATAGAAACATTATTGTAACAGTGGCCAAAAATATTTATTCTCTAAAGCAGTCCTGGTATAGGAATACTTAACAAATAATTAACTAGGAAACTGGAAATAATTACACTGAAAATGAGAGTTTCACAACAATAAGGATTTCTGGATAATCTAGCAATAGTTTCTGAAACTCACACCAAAATACAAGTGTGATAAAAAATGAGAGGTACAGTGGTGATGTTCTGTTTAAAAACAACATAAAAAGTTAAAAAAGTTGGCCAGGTGCGGTGGCTGATGCCTGTAATCCCAGCACTTTGGAAGGCCAAGGCGGGCAGATCATGAGGTCTGGAGATAGAGATCATCCTGGCTAACACAGTGAAACCTCGTCTCTACTAAAAATACAAAAA